TAACAGACTGACAAAAAAATATAATAATACTAAGACGTACGAAACTCCGCCTGGAGTCCCTCCGGGGGCTACTGCCGGTCCCAAGCCCGGATAAAGGAGGAGGGTTGGGCATGGGGTTAGCGTCCCCATCCCGTAGAAAACTAAATCGCTAAAAAAACGCTAACCAGAAAAAATTATTCAAACCTTTTAAACTCTGCCCTGGGAGTCAGAAGATCTTCATTTAGAAGAATTATGACGCCTCATGATGAAAGCCGAATCCCTTCGGAAGTTACGAGGCCGATGCCCCTTCTGACAACCAGAGCGACCATTTATTTAGGTACATGGAATGTTCGTACAATGTGGGACACCGGAAGAGCCTTCCAGATTGCTGCAGAAATGAGAAGATACAACCTAGAGGTACTTGGGATCAGTGAAACACATTGGACACAAGTTGGACAACAACGACTAACTACAGGAGAGCTCCTGTTATACTCCGGCCATGAAGAAGAAAATGCACCACATACACAAGGAGTTGCATTGATGCTGTCCAAACAAGCGCAAAATGCACTTATAGGATGGGAATCTCATGGACCAAGGATCATCAAAGCCTCGTTTAAAACAAAGAAAGAGGGCATTTCAATGAACATCATCCAATGCTATGCGCCTACCAACGACTACAATGAAGACGCTAAAGATCAATTCTACAATAGGCTGCAGTCAATAGTCGAGAAGTGCCCAACAAAGGACCTGACCATTCTGATGGGAGATTTCAACGCCAAGGTTGTAACGGACAACACTGGATATGAAGACATCATGGGACGACACGGACTGGGAGAAAGAAACGAAAATGGTGAGAGATTTGCAAACCTATGTGCCTCCAATGAACTGGTCATAGGCGGCACCATATTCCACATAAACGCATACACAAAACCACAAGGACTTCACTGGATCACACCAAGCAAAACCAAATCCACCATATTTGCATCAACAAAACGTTCAGGAGGACTATAGAGGACGTGAGAACCAAGAGAGGAGCTGATATAGCATTAGACCATCAATTGCTGATCGCCAAGATGAAATTGAAACTCAAGAAGCACTGGACATTGGGGCGGACAACATCACAGAAGTTCAATACGGCCTTTCTTCAGGATACTAACAAACTCAACAAATTCAAGATAGTCATCAGCAACAAATTCCAGGCCTTTCATGATATACTCAATGGAGAAGGAACTACTGTGGAGAGCAACTGGAAGGGGATCAAAGAGGCAATCACTTCAACATGTCATGAGGTCCTGGGTCACAAGAAGCACCACCACAAGGAATGGATCACTGTTGGTACACTGGATAAGATTCTAGAAAGGAGGAACAAGAAGGCAGCGATCAATACCAGCCGAACAAGAGCAGAAAAAGCCAAGGCACAAGCTGAATACACGGAAATAAACAAACAAGTGAAGAGGAGCATCAGAACCGACAAACGTAAATATGTGGAAGATTTAGCAACGACGGCGGAAAAGGCTGCAAGAGAAGGAAACATGAGACAATTGTATGACACGACAAAGAAACTCTCTGGAAATCGCCACAAACCAGAACGACCAGTGAAAAGCAAGGAAGGCAAGGTAATCACCAACATTGAAGAGCAACAAAACAGGTGGGTAGAACACTTCAAAGAACTGTTGAATCGACCAGCTCCACTGAACCCACCCAACATCGAAGCAGCACCGACGGACCTCCCAATCAATGTTGGCCCACCAACAATTGAAGAAATCAGCATGGCCATCAGACAAATCAAGAGTGGCAAAGCAGCAGGACCGGACAACATCCCAGCAGAGGCACTAAAATCAGACGTAGCGGCAACTGCACGGATACTCCACATTCTCTTCAATAAGATTTGGGATGAGGAACAAGTACCAACAGACTGGAAAGAAGGACTTCTGATCAAAATACCGAAGAAAGGCGATCTCAGCAAGTGTGATAACTACAGGGGCATCACTCTTCTCTCAATACCGGGAAAAGTCTTCAACAGGGTATTGTTAAACAGGATGAAGGACTGCGTAGACGCCCAACTTCGTGACCAACAGGCAGGATTCCGTAAGGATAGATCGTGTACAGACCAAATCGCAACTCTACGGATAATTGTGGAACAATCAATTGAATGGAATTAATCACTCTACATCAACTTCATTGACTACGAAAAGGCATTTGATAGCGTGGACAGAACAACACTATGGAAACTTCTTCGACACTACGGCGTGCCTCAGAAGATAGTCAATATCAAACAGAGTTCATATGATGGATTACACTGCAAAATCGTGCATGGAGGACAGTTGACAAAGTCGTTCGAAGTGAAGACCGGTGTTAGGCAAGGTTGCTTACTCTCACCCTTTCTCTTTCTCCTGGTGATCGACTGGATCATTAAAACGTCAACGTCCGAAGGAAAGCACGGGATACAATGGACATCTAAGATGCAGTTGGATGATCTAGACTTCGCAGACGATCTGGCCCTTCTATCCCAAACGCAACAACAAATGCAGGAGAAGACGATCAGTGTGGCAGCAGCCTCAGCAGCAATAGGTCTCAATATACACAAAGGGAAAAGCAGGATTCTCCAATACAACACAGCATGCACCAATCCAATCACAATTGACGGAGAAGATTTGGAAGATGTAAAAACCTTTACATATTTGGGCAGCATCATTGATGAACAGGGTGGATCTGATGCAGATGTGAAGGCGCGGATCGGCAAAGTAAGAGCAGCATATTTACAACTGAGGAACATCTGGAACTCAAAGCAACTGTCAACCAACACCAAGGTCAGGATTTTCAATACAAATGTCAAGACAGTTCTACTGTATGGGGCAGAAACCTGGAGAACTACGAAAGCCATCATCCAGAAAATACAGGTGTTTATTAACAATTGTCTACGCAAAATACTTCAGATCCATTGGCCGGACACTATTAGCAACAACGTACTGTGGGAGAGAACAAACTAGATCCCAGTGGAGGAACAAATCAGGAAGAAGCGCTGGAAGTGGATAGGACACACATTGAGGAAAGCACCCAACTGTGTCACAAGACAAGCCCTCACATGGAATCCTGAAGGTCAAAGGAAAAGAGGAAGACCAAAGAACACATTACGCCGGGAAATGGAGATAGACATGAGAAAAATGAACAAGAATTGGATGGAACTAGAAAAGAAGGCCCAGGATAGAGTGGGTTGGAGAATGCTGTTCAGCGGCCTATGCTCCATTGGGAGTAACAGGCGTAAGTAAGACGTACGACACGAGTTAATAAGTGGCGCGGGAGCTTACGACAGATGGGACGTATATATATATATATATATATATATATATATATATATATATTAATCTAGTTACTCAGCAATCATATGAAAAGATTATAATCCATATTAATTCGGAAAACCAGTTTCAACTTTTACAATATTCTCATTGTCGTAAGAAACATAATCGAATTTGATCAATACACTGAAAATTGCATTTCATTTTCGGAAACTATCATAATTACCTATTAATTCAAGCAACCAAACTTAGTAAACAGAAAGTCCACTGAGGGAACAACATCAATTACTCTGATAAAGGGAAAGTGAGGAAATCGAATGCGTAGAATAGTAAAATAAGATAAAAAAAGGGTCTGTATTATTGTTATATCCCGATGAGAAAATGAATGGTAACTTTGGGGATCCATTTATGGACCAATACTATACGTATATTTTTATCGTATCATTGTTAAATAACCAAACTATTCATATTCGTGTTCCACTTATCGAACACGTCGACGTCACTTATTGTTAGCGGGAAATAAACTGGATTAAAGCATGCTCAATGCACGGTTGCTTTGGTGCACGCTGATTGGCTAATTCTTATTCTATCAGCACTAGTCGATACTTGGAGAATACTCTAGAATCTTCTCATGTAAGTAATATAAATATACTAACGTTTTCCCTAATGTGCTTCTTGCCTCCATCTAACCTTGTTATTTGGAATATAATCTTTTTCCTGTTCAACCGTGTTCTGATTTGGGGACTTGTCGAGTGATTTAGTGTCCAAGAATACTAAGCAATAGGAATAGCTGGATCATAACTGTAAGAGAGGAATATAACACTTATTTTGAAAGTCTGATCAGCCCAAATGAGTCGGTGTCTGATGAAATCTCAGCACGAATTCGAAAAAGCTCGTTTGCCTTTTGCCAACGTACGTCACCTATAGCGGAGGCGAGATATCCGTATCTCAATTAAGGGATGAGTATACTGTGCAGTATTTCGCTATGTTCTATATTACGGCTGAGAAACGTGGCCATTAAGAGTAGAAGATACTCGTAAGCTACTATTATTTCACCACATATGCCTTAGAAATATTGCTCTCATCTGCTGGGATCACCGGATAAGTAATAGTGAGGTTAGACGCAGGGTATTAGGAAATAATGGCATATCTGTTGATGAGGTTGTAAATCTTCACTGGCTAAGATGGTTGGGACACGTGTTACATATGTCTGAACACCGATTACGACGCACAATGCTGACGAGTGTTGGGGATGGTTGGAAGAAAGTTAGGGGTGGCCAAACTAAAACTTGGCATCAGTGCTTGAAGTCACTAACTTCTAGTCTTAGCCATGTTAGTACATGCAGACTACTTGGTTGGAGTCCGCGTAGCTATCGTAATCAATGGTTGGAGACTCTGGGTGACATAGTTTAGGTCTATACACTCTGTCTTTCCTTAAACTATGAGATTAAAATTACTTTATATTTTCCTTTTTACGAACTAATTCTTTCGTCCTGCGCTATGTCCTGATATGCAATCTTTCTTTTATATATTATTACCATTAAAGTAACTACTATGAATTTGGTGTTTATCTTGTTGTGCTAATGAGGTGTGGCAACTTGGACCGATGAACATATATGTGCCTAGTCCTACGCTGTAACTGACTGACTGATATATGGTAAGCATGAATATTTCAAATGATAGAGAACAAACTAAACAAACATGGAGAAAAACTAATATACCCACAAATATTTATAACTGTTTCATTGCCTCTTCTATTGCACCATGCAAGTCTGGTACATTCTCATTTATAACCCAACTGGGTAAAGGTGCAGAATAGCACCAATCAGATCCACTATAACGATAAGCGTGCAGTCGTAGTATTAAGTTATTCATTTCTGGATCCTTGAAAGTAAGCTTGCAATCAGGGCATAAGGGATCTTTACACAATTGCAGACGCTCTAATACATTTGGATCAAGAGAACTTTCCAACTTTTCATCGGTCTGAAGAAAAAACCAAAGATAAATCACCTTTAAGAGTGATACGATGCAACATAAATGACAAAGTAGTGATAATTGACAATCTCAAATATAAGTAGTTAGTTGCGTACTCTGGTGGGCCATTGGCTTAGTGATTAAGGAGTTAGGATTTCAACCATTAGGTTACAGTGGGCCAAGTCCCTCTCCGCTTTTTTGAGTATGGGTACCACTTACACATAAGGTTTGACTAAAAGCCGAGTACACAAATTTGTACTTGGTGAATGAGCTACATTACAACAAACTAGTGATTTTTACTGAGCCATTTAGTTTTAGACTAAGACAAATAAGCAAACAAATAGTATGATCAATTTACAAAGCACATGTTTATATATTCAGCTTTGAATTACAATGTTTATGTATGGCTTATTGATGCCAACTGATTGATCACGTATAAGTAGGTTTGACAAAGTTGCATGTGTACATGAAAAGTTCATAGAGAGAAAAAACAAATAATAATTTTCCATTGCATCATGGTGTACTACTATAAACAAAAGCCTGTTGCATCAATTAACTCGACAGGATATGTAGGACTGATGAAAAAATTTTCTTTCTAGATTCAAGTTGTTGAGATAATCTTGATCATATAAACACATCCATATGATATTCTTATTTTTATCTGCGACTGTTTAAATAATGCAATTTTAACCCTATGTCGATTGAATTAGGGATCGGAATAATCTAAACAAAATATATATTGTAAAAAACAGGAGCTAAGCTGAGGTGCATATAACAGATATGATATTCTTTGAGTCAATTCAGTATGAAACTCGTAGCTTGGGTTTTTGAAGTAATTCTGTGTATTTCTCCCGTGTGATAATTACGAATCAATCATTAAGTGTGAGTAAAATCAGTATAGACATGTGTATTCATGAATAATTTCAATTTGTTTGAGGTCAAATAAACCTTCATAACCAGTCTTTGTAATGTGATTAAGTATAGCTGGATTTTGGTACCAAGCAAGTTACTCTGAGTCAGTCAGTCGGCAATTTACTCTGAGAACTATCGTAGCTATCACTAAAGAAGTATAGGTACTTCAAAACAATTGTCCACGCAAGATACACCTTATCCATCGGCCGGATACTATCAGAAACAATCTACAGTGGCAGAGAGCAAACCAGTTTGCAAGTGAAGGGCAATTCGAATTGAATTTGGAACAGATGTGGAATCCAAACTTTAAAGGATTACTGAAAACATTTTAATAATCCAGTTTGAAAGTTTTGCACTGAGTACCTACTTACCTGGACGCTGAAACATATATACTTTGAATGAATTAGATGAAATGTTTGCTTTGAAGAGTAAAGAAATCTAGATTACGTTCAAACTAGTGAAGTAACTGGTTCCGATTACTGTTATTCTAAGTAGTATTTAAATGTTACCATGTCCAAAGAATTTTAAGTGCAACCATTCATGAATAAATTATGCGGATTTGTTTGTAAAGAGAAAGTTTCAAAAACGATAGAGAAACCACAATTCAGAACGAGTGGTAGCAATGAAATCACGAAAAACTAGCATAATATGAAATTCAAGAAGAGTCCTACCTCTTGGATTCTGTACTTTTCCCTGTTACGAGAATCACTCAATCTTTGGACAACTTCTTCCAGAGTCATTCCATAATTAGCACCTTTCCCTTTTAATTCACCCCAATCAGCTGAATTGTATAGGGGATCATCAACAATCGGATAACCTAAACAGAAATAACACGGGGATAACAGTCATTACAAGCAGAAACGAAGTCATTTTTACCCAAACAAGACATTAACACAGAACGAATTGTAGTGTCGGTTACTATGTTATGCCCACACAACTTATTCTAGCTTCTGGATAGGTCAATTTATCCATTCTTCTTGAGTTACATTTTGAAATTGTCAATTATTCGCTTATCAACCTTGACTGTTTTTATATGAGCATATGTGTATGTAAACTTTTTATCCTACTCATCACACGTCTGTAGCTTATTTTTGTGTGACTATAAATATTGATTAACGCTTAGTTAAATTGATTTGGCTCACATGTTTTTTCCAACACGCATCATTTCGTTTCGCTTCGTTCCTTTGATCGTCTGCCTGAATCAATAGTACAAAATATACGTATTCGAAATCCTTTCTCGTATTTGACTTATTTTAATTCCGTTACTTACTAACGCGAGTTAAGTCAATAATTATATACGTAGATAGCTAGGATGTATATTTTGACAACAATCATTCATACGATCTAATTGGAGTCAGATATAGGGCCACTAAAGAATATTGGAGAAGTTGGGACCTTCAGCCATATTTTCCGGACTATTAATATTTACATCGTTACTGTATAATTAATCGATAACTTTATTACTGCATTTTTACATCGCCCTAACTGTAAACTTTCAGCGGATTGTCACTAATATACTTTACTTTTCTGTAATTAATGTTAGTTAATTATGTACTACTTGTTTCGACCCTCTACCACTTATGGTATGATTGCGTTTAAAGTGTAATTTGTTGTTTGGCGTGTTATGTGGTTCGGCATTTTCAGCATATTATTGTATAGGATTTTGTCATGATAGAATCGGAGACAACAGTTAGTCTGCCTTCGGTCATCATCTTCTGATTGGCCACTGGGTTAGAAGGGGCGCGAGCACCGATAAGCATTAAGGTCTAGATTGTGTAAACTCGTGAAATAGTTCACCGGTTCGGCTGACAATATAGTACGTAGTGTCGATTATAATCTTCAGAGTTAACTCAGCGCAAACAACAGTAAACAACCAAAAGGAATAGAAAATAAAAAAAGACGAATGAAATTAAGATGATAGTTATGGAATTAAAGTAATAATAAGTGGGTCAATGCCACCGACTACGAGTAATACCATCTGAAGTTTCCAACATTGATTAGAAGGTGGTTAATAACAAGGTTATTGTGTTTTCGTTGCTCTTTCTAAGTAAAGACTATTCTTAAGAAATAATTCAACATTGCGTACATTTACAAAGATTTATAACTGTACCAAAAATGTACGGATACAAGTTATATGATGTATTGTATTACCTAAGTACTGCACATGTACTCGGATTTGATGTGTACGCCCAGTGAATAGACGACATATGACTAGACTTGTATTCGTGACGGGATTGTAGTTTAAGCGTAAGAAATGTGTCCGAGCGAACTTCCCACCAGCTGATTCTGGTACAACGCCATGTACACCCATTCTACGACTGATAGGCCCGACAGGTTGGCTACAAACCACTACTCCATTGTTTATCTCAAAGCCAGTACATTGATTGATTGGTTCGGTTGGGAAACAGCCTTCGACATGACATATATAATACTTATAAAGTGAAAACAAAACAAGGAAGTAGCTTCAATACATCGTTATTACAGGCTATTTTTATTGGATAGCTAATTAAGAATACGTTTTAGTTCGGAATAATTTGTAGATGAAATTTCATGGTAAAATCTAGTGTTAACTGCATGGTGATATTCACGCTTTAATTGTAATATTTCCAAATTTCTCGGCCTCGATAATGGGTTAGGGTTGAAATATGTATAAGGTCGTGTACAAAAATAACCCCAAAACCATGGAAACTCCAAAATGTTTTAGATTAACTTACACTACACACTTTATTGACTAAGTACACAATGATGTAAACTATTGGCTTACTGAGCTAAAGTAACATGTTCAGAAACAGACATGTGAACTAACAGACTAGTCTTGCTACGCTGAAGAAAGGGGATAGGTACACCTAACTAATTCACTTGATATTCTTTACTGAAATGTTAAGATAGATTGAATTAGGAGCCAAATCTTAACCAACAAGACGTCTGACAACTATTAAAAGAGGATATTTATAACATTATTACAGAAAATAAGGGAAATTGGAAAAAAATGTCTATCGATGTCATTTACTAAAGCGGTACATACATACAGTTATGTATAATACAATTTACAACAAAACAAAGGCATTGAAACACCATAGTTATCTTATTTTATCCAATGTTGACTTGTTAGATAAAACGAAGTAAGAACTATCTTAACCTTTTCGTAGATAAGTGAGAACAACTCGAACAGAGGATTACAGAAATTCCGTCTCTAAGACACCTGTATATGAATCTGGAATTCAGAATCCACTAGACTTCCGGTTTACTTAAGAACTCGTCTGTAGCAATTAAGAGGATGTTCCGTGCAAAAATCAGGAGACTATTTTCTGTATCCCTAAAGGATAAGCTTCCCTATCTGACAGCCTTTATATGGATCTATTATTATACCTGCTCCAAATGGAGGAAAGTACATTGACCAGAGCCAGTGTTCGCCTCTACCACAAATACGAGCACATACTCTAGCTTGGTTTTACAGGGACAAGAGGAAATCGGTCAAAATTACTATTCATAAACAGTTGATTGACTGCAACTACTCAAATAACCGAGTTGTTAAGCATACGGTTATTATTAGAATCCGTTTAAATCCTTATACCTAATTCTTCGAAAAAGTGGAAACAGCAAGTTTTGTACTAATTTTATAAATTTTTTAATGCTGGAGTGACTTTACTGTAAATTGTGTTATAAATAACTTTGATCTCATTACTTTGCTTCATTCAACATATAGCACTTAGTAGCTTAGTGGGAAATGTCCCATTGGAATATTTTGAACTAGGTGTCAATAACTGAGCACTTCATGCACGACTATCAGACTTTAAATTTTATAGCATTGAAATGTTTATATGGAGTTTTACCCAGTCAGTCTGGTGAAACCTAGAAAATTCTAATTTACTACCCGGTGTGAATATCATCAGGTGAGTGTTGACATCAAATGTTGAGATGGAAATTTATGGGTTATGGATTGAAAAGCTAGTTAGTGAATTAATAATAGCGATGATTTTTCCAAATAAACAGTAGATCATAGACGAAGGCATGGACATATACTGAGTTATAAAGTTCATTATTTCGTTTTGAAGACTGATGGGAAGAACTGTAATTTATGCAATTTAATGATAAATATACATCATATAGTCTCTTCAGTTATAGGTCAATATTACTGAACAGCCACATCGTAGATGCCGAGTTACAGTCAAAAATGCTGAAGCATGAGAATACTGAATCGAACTAGTGAAAATATCAAAATCAAGCTTGTAATCCAACTTCAAATCAAGAAATGATACTATCTATATGGATGCGTTAAGTTAGATATAGAAAGAAATGATAAATATGATAAACAAGACGTACTTTTGCAACCTCCTTACTACTAATTTGTGATTGCAGACGTACAGATGTGTCGTAGTTCTTGGCGATTAAAAGTAATCCAGAGGTCATTCTATCATTTTTTTAAAACCATAAGCGAAAATGAAGTTTAAATACCATGTGTTAAATGCTAGGACAAATTAAAATCACCGTTAAACTTCATGCAACACAGAAACATAAATAATAAAATAAAGTTCGTAGAACATCGGGAGTCAAATAATATGAAAGTATTTGGAATTTCGTAAAAATTTAATTACTAAGCAATAACCTGAGCAATTTGACAAATTTCTTTTGAATCCTAATCAGCTACCCCCTACATGATTGAGCATGAGACATAATTACGGGTTTTTCACAGACAACACTTTACAGTGACTACGAATCTAAGTTGCAACTAGTCACATTACTATAAGTTAGAGACTCACCAAGAAATTAAAAATAGTAACAAGATGATTTTGGAAACGGCACGAAAAAATGGGCTTGCAAGTGTCCACATTTTGACAAAAGTCAGTCAGTCAGTCAGCTACAACGCAGGAGCAGGCACATATATGCATCGGTCCAAGTTGCCATACCTCATTAACACAACAAGATGGACACCAGATTCATAAAAGTAGTTAATTCAGAGGTGGTAATATATAAAAGAAAGATTGCAATAAGGATATAGTATAGGAAGAAAGAATTAGTTCGTAGAAAGAACCTCTTAGTTTAAGGGAATTATTATTATTTCAACACATAAATATCGGTACAAGAGGGCACTAAATATATATGCGCCACACCATATTTGTGTGTGTGGGCTGTGATACTGCCCGGGTGCCCAGACCGAAGCAGGTGGTTATCTTAGGGAGCCACACTTCGAGCCTTTGACCTGAGGGTTTGATCCACAAGGCAGTGGAACATCGTGAGGAGATGCATTCCTATGGTAGCCGGTGACCAGCGATTGGTTCATACGCCATTTGTTCCCGCAGGATACTGGAGCCCACGTGCACCACTGGTTTGGGATCCGGTTAAAGCGCTGGATATTCGCTTTTCGTAAACAACACCCCCGCCACGAGAAGGCAATGAGTAGGACTTCCCTGGCAGAGGCTGTATACGCGTGGCCGTGAGAGAGTGTATACACCGACGCCATTGTGGTCTATTCTGAGCCATGTCACCAAGAGTCTCCAACCATTGGTTACGATAGTCACGCGGACCCCAACCAAGTAGTCTGCACCTACCAACATGGCTCAGACAATTTTGACAAAAATGCAGACTAGGACCTGATATCTATTTTAAATTGTCCTATTGTCACTATTTCTTGTGTTGTTATTATTAATTTGACGGTCTCGACTTAATAGGCTCGCAGTACTACGATCTCTGAGCTTCACCTGTCCCGACCTTAATATCGATCTATAAACTGGTTAATAAAACCTTAGGAATGTTGAAGCTTCTTCTATAAAGACAAGCACAGGTGAAAGCATACTGATCCCTCATCTATACATATGAGAAATAATCACTGAAAAACTTGAGTAAAAACATGATGAATACACAAATTAAGAACTATCAAGCATGAGATCACTAAAATTTTGCCCAGTAAACCAGCTAGCTCACAAAGAACTAAAACTGAACGACTGACATAAGCGCTGCAACAAGTTATAAACGAACATCTGGAGACTCTCAGTGCTTAACCAATGTATTTTCACGCAAGAAGGCTATTCAGTCTGCTCTTTCACATGCAAATCAAACTAAAAATTACTAGCATCATGAGCTGATACCACAGTTATGGTCGTTTTGAAGAGCTAGTCAACAATGAATTAGGTGGGAGATGTCTAAGCTAATGGATTGTAGGTGTAAGTAGTCAATCTTCTAGGAGTTCCATATACAAAAAATAAGAGCGTCAATCATAAGCGAACGGCTAAGTGTAGTGCCACACCAAGTTATTTCTTCATGTCTTAAACATTTGATTTCTCTTGGGTATTCAAGTAATAGTATTGAGGATTTACTGCCTTAAAGCCTGATGGAGAGACAACCTTAGCGATACTAAAGTGTACTAGAAGAGGGTCAAACATCTACTGCGGTCGAAATAAGGCCTTAAACAAATGAGAGCGATTGAGAGAAGTTAAGATTGTGAATTAGGACTTGACTTTTCACAACGTTCTAACATATAATTAGCCATAAGGACGAACAAATTGTGCGCCAAAATCCGAGATTCGCAATCTCAGATCTGGCTGGTATATTTATAAACTAGTCTCGCGAGCCTATCAAAGCAAATGTGGGTCACGTTTATGTAAAATTTAAAGCACAATCACCTCCACATACTTTTGTTAGGTGAACCGTTACCCATAGTGAATGAACATACCTATCAAGGCGGTGGGTAAATCGTAGAGGACGAAGACCATAATCCTTGGCCAAAATGTGTGTGATGCTGTTAAGTGTGTACTGGCCACAAGGATGAATAGGTATGGAGGGAGGTTTATTGACCACTAGAATATCGTCTGAATCGTGTACAAACTCGATGGGAAGATCTTGGAGGCAAAGTGAACTAAAACATAAACATACTTAGTACAGGACACTCATGGCGATGAACCTTTTGAGAAAGGAGATCACTGTCATTTATAACATAGTCAGGGTCGACTTTTGCATTATTTACCAGGATTTCACCTGATTCACATTTCTGTGCCTAACAATCTTCTTTTCAGTAACACAAGGTATTCCTTACGATTACTTCATCAGAATTATTATTAAATTCAGACTGCAGGACATCACGGAGCTTACGATTAATCCACCTGTCCTTTGCATAAGCTTTGAAGACGAAATGATAGGGGAAAACCTATTAGGATGAGTACGGAAATATTTGCAAACCTTTCTAAATATCCCATCAATGTAGTAGTCACTGATGCTGGAATTTTCGTAATGCACAAAGTCAGTCGCTAATCGTTTCTTCTCTTGTCGTTTCTTAGTCAATATAACTTTAGCTGCAGCCTTTTTAGCATTCTTTCTTTCGCGTTTATTCATGTTTTTCAGAACACAGGCTAAACTTGTACATAGGCTTCGAGCATAAAGCATGAATACAGATTACACTCAAACCCCCCTATTCACATTGCGACCTTGATAATTGGACAAACATTTGAACCAATTATTCAAAACTTTCAAACCTTGTTGGGTACAAATAAAGAACTGATTATCTCTGAGATCTGAATCCAGGTTGCTGGATGTGGCGGTGAATAAAGCACCTCGGTCACTCATCCGCACCAGATCTCGCGCGGGAACGTTGTGATGTACATCTACAACCGCTAGTCGGCTTAGGTTAATCACTTCTCAATATATCGATAGCTTGTAAACTATATCCTTGAACCTCTTAGCTTCTGACTTGACTGGGTTGGCATACTTTTATTATAAAATTGTTACCAGCTAAGGCCTTGTCGAACTCCGAACACTTGTCGAGTTCTTGTGAGAAAGGATCATTCATCGGCATGTTTTAAACTTCACAAGTAAGGATTGGAGTTAAGTGATCTACGCTTAAGTTGGAGATTTGTGGCATTTAGAGAATCAATCTCTCTTCTCATTCACTATGTAGTTATGCAGATCGTTGTAACTACTGGGGTACACTAATAAACACTTTCCATAACTTGGTTCTAATGAGTATCGATCTGTCCACTCAACCACTGGATTCAACTTGTGGCGGTAAATAAATCCCCAAAATAAATAGCTCTGTAAGTCTTCGACATTTGATGCTGGACACATTAGTTTTGATGAACTTCACTAGCTGAAGATGCTCGGTCACGCATCCACACCAGAACACGAGTGGGAACGCCATGTTCAACTTCTCCTGCAGTCGCCAACCAGCTTAGATCAGCCGCTTCTCGGTATATCAGTGACATATCAAATATATCTCCCAACCTTCTCGCTTCTGACTTTTGATTTCACTTGGTGAGCACGATTGAATCATAGAAGCTGTTACTGGTTAATGTGTTGTCAAACTACAAATACTTGCGGCATCTTCAAAGTCCTGTTTATCAGTCATGTTTACGGGTCTCCACTTTCCAATGTCATCGGTAAAACTTCCAACAAATGACTCTGCGAGTCTTGTTAGACCATTCATATAAAGTAAAAAAGAAAGAAGACCTAGGAATGTTGCTTGAGGAACTCTACTTTCCACATATCTTCATGGTAACGGGCGCTGTTTGCTTCCACTCACGTAAAGACAAATAAACCGTTAACGTAAGCAATTCTCTAAGTCTTCGACATTAGTGCTGACCTTATTAATTTTACTAAACACACCCTAGCTAAATGTTCTGTGTCAAGCATCTTCAGCAGAACCCCATCGGGTATGCTGTGTTACGCATCTCGCACAATTACTGGCCAGCTTACATCAAACACTTTTTGGGATATCGCGTACTCTCCAGATATATCTTCGGACTCCTTCGTTCTTTCCTTCTGGTTTGAACGGTTTTGGTTAATCGATTACAAAGTTGTATTGGAAAAATTGTTTTCAAAACCTAAATGTCCGTGGCGCTTTTAGTGGTGAACCTTATGTGATCTGGTGTATTAAATGATAAACTGAGTCTGTCCCTTGGTCTTTAGTCGTCAGTATTCAGTAATAAAGATAGAAAGTCTATCGACCTTTATTAAACATTGCAGTTTGTAACACTGTCGAGGTTCAATCTTGTTTTGAATATATCAACAGCAGGTGCTGATAATACATGTTCCAGTAGAGATTTTCAGTAATTCGTTACTCGATGCGAGAAACAAAACTCCACTTGTTGAATTTTCTTCGAATGTCCTAGACAGGAGGAACAGATAAGACATATTAATACCAAGGTCATCGTTCAGTATACGATAAGTTAATATTAAGTAACCCCGATTTCTAAGGTAAGATTGTAGTGACATTCGCTCCCAACCACACAATCGTCAAAGCTTAACACGAAATAACTGAGGAAATAGATATTCAAAATTTAACGCGGAGAAAAACCCAACAATGGAGAAGGAGTGGTCTTACTTATGACACATTATTTTTATCCATATGAAATCTATTGTTTTATCTCCCGTCTAGAGATGTTCTTCATCATATATTGAGGACTGTCACAACACGAATGAGTCAGGGTAGAAAATGACATGACATCCACCTGTGATCTTAAAGATTAGGCAGTTACATCATCACAAATCTACAATTTTAGGATTAGGTATATTATGAGAGCAGTACTATTATCATAGTAGACCATAATTCTAGAACCACGAGCGCTTAAACTAGATCACGTTGCTTCTTCGACCTCAGGATTAGCTTAAAAAATTTATATGGTTGGTTTCAACAATGTCATTGGTCCTCTTAACCATTGTAATCAGTGTTTCGAACTGAAATTCCTTAGAATTATATGGTTAGATGCTACGGATATATTCTTCGAGCTTCTAAAAATCATGCCCGTTTTCTACTTTTAGAATCAGGATAGTTTGACTTCAGCATATTAAATCCTTCACAGTCAGGCCACGGTGGAGTTCTGTCTTACTATTACACCACAGATTTAATTGAAGTCGAAGTGTCTGTAATCAATTGTGCTTCTCCACAATTTCAGCCTGAGACTGTCCGACAGTGTATTGAATGTAGACTCTGTATTATCTAGAATGTACTCTTTAGTATTAGAATTAATAACTGAACTTCAAACAGACTTATTTGGTTCCTGGTATTGTATTTATTCAACATGTCGGTTGTGTGTTCCTAAGCCATTAATATTTAGAATTCGCACCACAGGTTTCTCGACATTCTTCATCACAATCCCCTTCAGTCTGTCAGCAACAACGTACAACTTCTTGCGTACGTACATAAGCTCATGTTGCCATACCACATTAGCACATAGATACAGTTGTCGATTCAAACCCCATAGTGGTAGAGGTAGTAAAGTATAGGCAGCAATCGAAAAGATTAGGGATTGAAGATGCTATTCAAGGAGTCCAGTGAAATGAATTCGGAGCAATTAGAAAGGGAAATGAAGAATTTAGAAGACCAGAATATGGGAGAACACAAACAGTGGATGCACCTGCACCATCGCAAACGATTTTGAGACATGTCATTCAGGGTTTCCAACTATCGGATGCTATTGTCTCGCCGATCACAACCAGGTAGTCTACACCTACCAGTCCACTTGTCAGTGACTTCGTGGATTTGTATCATGGCTGATTGAAGATAATTTCCACGACAATATGTAACTTCTACAGACTCCAAACACCTCATATTAGAATGAAGAATTCTTCATTTTAACGGATTTGTTGGAGTCTCTCTTGTCACAGCATGTTTAGTATTTCTGTATTGCAGTGGAAATGTAACTACTCACTTCCAGAGCTCATTAGATGTTGAAACACCATCAGAATCAATAAAGTTTTCAATGTCGTGACAAAAGTTTCTGCCTGACCATTAGAACAAGGGTGTCTGGGAGCAGTGAACAGATGTTTGCACCCTATACCATTCAACCAGGTAGTGACTGCATCTGCATCAAAATGAGAGCCATTATCGGTCACTAACACCATGGGAACCCCTTCTCGGCTAAACACCTTTCTTAATGCTTTGATTGTAAAGTCAAAATTTGGGGAAGTGAATAAAACTTCAGACCACTTTGAAAAAGAACCATTTACTACAGTTGCATAGTATTTGTCAGGGAATGGACCACAATAATCTGCATGAGTTCTCTGCAAGGCCTCTGACGATACTGGCCATGGAATTCCCATTGAAAGATGATTTTTTAACTCATACCATCTTCACAATGGTTTGCTGTACGACCTATGTCTGTGTTTATCTTCGGTTACCAACATGTGAGTCCTGTCAAGGACTTCATTTTTTCGACACCTAAATGTCCTATATGAAGGACAGATTTATTTAATGAAGGAGGAATAATAACACGGCCATTTAAACACAAAATACCATCATGAGTGGTAGATAACTCATCACGTTTTGAAAAATAGAGAGGAAATCTACGTTTAAGATTAGCATTCCAAACTTTCCGTAAGCACTGAGTATAAATTCAAAGTATCTACGACTTTCTCTGATGAGATCAGGATGTCTCAGCGGTAAAGGTTCCACTAACAAACAGTCTGAAGTATTGACAGGCCCATCTTGTGATGACTGATGAGTAATGTAGTCAACGTGTTTACTTTGTTTGGCGCTGCTGTGCAGAACTGTATAGTTATGGACACTCAAATCAATACTCCATCATTCAACCATGGCAGCTGGGGAATGTGCTGGAAAATTTTCAGGATGATAAATATACTTTAAAGCTTAATGATCAGTAACAATGGTGAATTCTTTCTGAATACATATCTATTAAATCCCTTAACAGCCCGAAACACAGAAAATGCTTCTCGCTGAGTTTGTGAATAACGTTGTTTAGTAACCGTAAGTTTGAGTGAAACACAGATAACTGGTCTGCCTTCCTGCTCCAAAACTGCATCAATACCCACTGCTGGTGCATCAGTAATAACTACAAAATATACACTAGGTGAGTAAGTTAGAAGAACAGCGTCACTTTGGAGAAACTTTAGTGGACTTCTTAAGCATGACGTTTGTTCCTCACTACATTTAAGTGAATTAGATGCAAAAATAATAAATAAACATTTGGCAGGACAAGAAAAATTAGGAAGAAAGCGGAAATGGTATTGAAGAGCACCCACTAATGAATGTAGTTCTGTAAGATGTTTTACAGATGGTACATTTTTGAGTGGATCTAGTAGTTTCATATCTGGTCTAAACCTATTGCCATCAACTTGGTATCCAAGACATTCGAAACTAGATACAATAAATGAACACTTATTTGGATTCGCCATAATATTCTACTTTATTAAACGATGTGATAGAGCAATAATTCTCCGATCATGAACTACCTTATCAGAACCGCGAATAATGCGATCATCATCAACTTTAACACCATTGTAGTGTGGCGTCGAATCGCGGTTGACTATGATCAATTCAGGAAGACTACATGCCAGTTAACCGATAAGATCCGCCGTAAGCCAACTCTCTTTCCAGACATGGTATGTCAATTCCTGCAATTAATTGATCCTTCTGCTGCATATGAGGTTGATCACCAAACTGCATTCGCAACTGGTTTTCGTAATTCAAAAATTGATCTCCTA